CTTAAATAAAAAACAATTAATTAAAGCAGTATTGTTTTAATGTAATAATGCATTTTCTCTTATAACTCTAATATAAATATGTAATATCAAAAGCGTGAAAAATCATTTAATATATAATGCAGAAAGGAAGGTTGGAAAAAAACATTTATTATATAACATGAAAAGGCTGTAAAAAGAATATTTAACGCTGTCATATGTATCAAGAATCAAGAAGCGAGCAACATCGTCCGTCGCGTCGCCCGTACGCCCGTCGCTATAGTTGCCGGCTCGATAGGAAGGAGAGGGACAGAAAACAGTATATCTGTCCTCTTCTGCCATCCGAAGTTAGCCGAAGTGCCGAGCTCACACGTACGCGGTTTGCGCTTGTGTGCGTTATCCCTTCCACCTCGGTTGCATGTTGCTCGCGTCTCAATTCTGGCATCACTGGTGTGTACCGCAAGATTAACGACACACGATGCTGAGTAATTACCACGACGCACCAACGGCCGGCCACCTGGGAATAGCAAAAACGATCGCTTGCATCGCCGAACATTATTACTGGCCGGGAATGTTCCGGGCGATCGCCGCATACGGGCGAACATGCGAAATCTGCCAGAAACACAAGGTGGCACAACAACAACCAGCCGGAAAGCTCCACGCGACCGACGTCCAGCGACCCTGGAGCAGATCACCACCGATCTCGTAGGGCCACTGCCGCGCTCGCGACAAGGCCACGTTGCTCTACGTAGTGCAGGATCGATTCTCGAAATGGGTGGAATTAACACCGCTCCGTCAAGCCACCGCGAATGCCGTCACGAAAGCCATCACCGAGAGGGTGATACTCAGACATGGCCGACCAGCATCCATTCTGTCGGATAACGGCACACAATTTATATCGAAGGATTTTACCGAACGACTGCAAGCGTTTAACATCCGGCATAAGACCGCACCAGCCTATGCACCGCATTACAACCCGGTTGAAAAAACCAATCGGATGATAAAGACGATGATTGGAGAATTCGTCGATAAGGACCATCGAGACTGGGACGAACATCTGCTCGCATTCCAATTCGCATTTAATACGGCAGTACACGATGCCACCGGATATACGCCGGCATATGTCAATTACGGGCGAGAGCTCGTACCGCCGCACCGCACCGCACCAGCAACCGAGAGGACGTCACCAGATACGAGACCGGCTAGACGACGCCTATAAAATCGTCCGGATACAACTGGCCCGAGCTTTCCAACGGCAGGAGAAATATTATAATCTCCGACGCCGAGAATGGAGACCGCACATCGGCGAATGGGTGTGGAAGAAAGACCACCCGCTGTCAAGAAAAGCCGACAGTTTCAACGCGAAACTCACGCCAAAATATATCGGCCCGCTCGAAGTTCGTCGAATTGTCTCGCCCGTCATCGTAGACCTGAGGAGCAAGCGGGGAAAATGGTACCGACACGTACATGTACAAGATCTGAAGCCGCCAGAATCAAACAAACCGTAATTCGCCTATTGTTCTTACGGTTAACGGTATTTGCGTCATAGAACCGGCGCGCGCGACTCGGGTGTTTTCGGTATCGGTCGGTCGGTACCCGGGCGCGTCACCGGCTCTCGACGGTTACGCGCGCCTAACGGCAGTTCGATATTTACGCGGTTTGTCTAATGTTTAAAAAATGGGCGCTCAGCGCCTCCGCATTTGCCCGACCGGTGTTCGTCGGGCGGCGGACTTCCGGCGGATCGGCGGCCGGGTAACGGTACATTGACGGTAGAGGGATGCATCGTTACATCACCCCTCCCCGTAGAATATGCTTGAGACAGATGCCAAGACAGATCCCTGTGGAACCCCGCATGTCATGTCTCTTTCTTGCGTTACAGCCTCTCGGTCAACATATGTTATCCTCCTGTCGCGGAAGTAGTCTCCTATCACCGCTACCAAGTACGGGGGAACTCTGTGGTATTGGAGTGCCCTACCAACCCTTTCCCAGGGGAGTGAGTTAAAGGCATTCGCGATATCTAGGGATACCGCCATTGCCACTCCCCCGTCCGTTATGATGGCCTCCGACATTGTTCGGACGCGTAGAATGGCATCTACCGTTGACCTCGCCCGCCGAAAACCATATTGGCCTTCACTTAGATTGGGGCCCTCCCCGGACAGGTGTTGAACAAGACGATCCGCAACGATCCTTTCCAGCATCTTTCCCGTTTCGTTCAGCAGGCATATGGGCCGATACGAAGAGGGAGAGTCCGCCGGTTTGTCCTGCTTTGGAAGGAGTACTATTTTTGCTTCCTTCCAGTTAGTCGGGAAACGTCCATATCTGAGGCAATCAGTGAAAATCCGGCTGATTCGTCCTCCAATTTCGCCAGAGGCCAGGGCGATGACTTTGCCTGGGATGCCGTCTGTGCCTGGGGCTTTGCGTGTTCCCAGTCTCTTTACGGCAGTTCTAAGTTCCTCCGGGGACACCTCCAATTCTTTTCTCCACTCTATTTGCTCCACTACAGGGACTGGGTAGTGAGGATATTGTCTAGGAAATGAGGGTTCATTGCCTCTGTCGTGGGGGACGCCCAATGCCTTAGTTTACTGAGTACTATCCGATATGGACGCCCCCACGGATCTTCATCCAGTGTCTGGAGGAGCTCGTTCCATGCCTTGGCCTTTGCCGCTCTTGTGGCCTTTACTAAGGCGTCCCTAGCCACCCGGTACTCCATGTATCTTTCCTCTATTTCTTCATCAGAGGCACTCCTTCTTTGACGGGCTCTAGTGTAGGCCCTTCTGGCCCTTACCGATGTTCTGCGTAGCGATGCGATTTCGTCTGACCACCAATAAGCGGCGCGTCGGGGGGAGGGCTTTGCACGAGGCATTGCAACATTACAAATTTCTGTCAGCACTTTTTCTAGCCGTGAGGCTTGCCGGTCAATGTCCTTTTCCTCATCGTCCTTTTCTGCCCACGTATTCGAGAGTATCGCGGCCTTGAGGAGGTCCTCATCCATCTTTTGAAAAGTCCATCTCTTTGGACGTGCCCCCGCCGCTTGGCGGCGCCTAAGCACCTCTGGAGTGATGGCTGCGATCGTCATCTCAATATAAAGATGGTCATATGCCGTCTCCTCTTGCAACACCTCCCATCCACTTACCAGGTGCACCGCAGAAGGAGTCGCCCACGTCAGGTCGACAATAGATTCTCCCTGCGCTCTTATGCAGGTACTCCTTATGCCCACGTGTAGTATGCATAGGTTCAGCGCTGCTGCCCAGTCCTCTAATATTTCGCCTCTTCTGTTATTTACCAAAGAGCCCCATAGAGCCGATTTGGCGTTAAAATCCCCCGCTATTATGATTGGTCGCGGGAGGCACCTGTTAATGCATTCCCCTATGCTCTCTAGCCTATCCTCAAATGTGGCTAGATTGAGGTTTGGAGAGATGTATACTCCAATGACCGATATCCGCCCCCACTGCACCGCTACGTATCCATCTCCACTTTCCATCCTGGAGCCTGGCGGGAAGTTTTTATTTCCCATCCACGTTATTGCCACAGGTTTTCCCTGGTCAGTCGCCCAGCAGGGATGGTTGTCTGGGACTGAATAAGGTTCTGCGGCAATGCCTATTCCACAACCACGTTCCATCAGGCTATGCAAGAATAAGTCCTGGGCCTGACGTGCGTGGTTGAGGTTTGCCTGGAGGATCTTAGTTGTCATTGTTATTATTTGACGGTGCTTCCTCCGGCACCACCTCCATCGGCTGGGCTTCGCCTTCAGCCGTTTTCTGGGATGTTTGAATATCCGTTCTTCTATTCCTCCTCAGTGCAAGGGGAAGTTGACTTTCCGCCACCTTCACATTGCTTACTACTCTGCTCCCAGAGGGGCCAGCAGTAGCAAGAATATTAGGGTCAACCTTTGCTTTTGGCGCTGCCGGAGCTTTGTTAGTCGATCCTTTTTTCTTCCTTGCCGGGGCACAGCTTTTGCTACCCGTACGGTGATCGTCCGGCCTTCCCTGATCTGTGCAGACTGAGCATTTAGGCTTCGCCATGCAGTTCTTGGCTTCGTGGCCATTCTCCCCGCACCTGTAGCATCTCCCGCTACGGTCAATATCACTGGTGCAGGTTGCTCTAACATGTCCTCCTTCGAGGCACCTGTAACATTGTAGGGGCCTTGTTTCCAAAATCTCGACTCTGGCTAGCGCCCAGCCTACTTTCAGCGTACCTTTCTTCATCGCAGCGTTTGCTGCTTCTAACGGGCATCTTACCCACGCCGTGCCAAGCCCGTTACCCGATTTTCTGATTGGGCCTGCACTAATGTCCGTTCTCTGATATTTCCCCAGTCCGATTATGGCTTGGATAATATCCTCTACGTTGACTGAGTCATCTAAGTCCCGTAGTCTTATGTCGCCCATTTTCGTTGGTCTTGCGATCTTTACTCCTTCTCTATTTGCAAGTACTTCTTGCAGTTTACTAGCGAATGCATCCGCCTTCGCTCTTCCATCCTCCCCAGCAATCTCGTATATGAGAGCGCCCGTAACCGC